GTGAGTGATCTTAAAGTAACTATGGTTGCTCTGTGAAAACACACAAGGTTTCTATACAAACAAAATCGCAAGAACATGGATAAAGCAGTGAAAACCATTAAACGCATCTTGGAGTATTGTCAGAACCATCATTTGAAAAATGACACAAGTGAGGTACCAATAATAACCTGAAAAGCTGGGGAAGGCAAGGCAAGGCAAGGCAAATTTATTTGTATAGCACAATTCAGTACAAAGACAATGCAAAGTGCTTTACATGATTAAATACAGGAAAATTAAACAGAATCAAAGCAAGTAGGAAAAAAAATAAAATAAAATAAAATAAATGCAGAAACAAAAAAGAATATTAAAAAGAATAAGTATTAATCTTTGGAAATGGTCAAAGGCCCTTGGTACAATGGAGGAGCTGAAGAGACCCCCTACCCCAGAGTGAGATCTGTTAGCATGAGTGCCTTTATGAAAGAGAACAAAGAAAAACAACTTTGTTGGGAGTTTTTTCCATATGGGAGCAGAGCAAACAGGAAGGAGAGAGTGTTTGGTTCACATGAACCGTGTGTTTCCAAACTTTTTAATGGAAAAGTCCAACAAAAGCCAGGTTATGCAAATTATGCGGTTGATAGAAGACCTACACACATGGCAGTACTTTACGTTGTGTCCATTTAACTGAATATAAATACTGCTTATAAAATTAGTTGCCGGGTGAAACACGTTTTTTTCCAGTGGGGATGCTCAAAACAGACTCTTTAATCTAGTCTAACTGAGCCTGAGCTACACTGCGAATGAGAATCTGCAGAAATTTCACCCTGTAGATCAGAGGTGTCAAACTCAACTCCTTGAGGGCTGGTATCCTGCGACTTTTATCTCCCTGGTCCAACACACCTTAAGAATCAAATGGCTGAATTACCCTCTCAGCATGCGGTTAATTTCTCCAGGGTGCTACTAATGACTAAATTAAATAGAGACAAATCTAAAAGATGTCAGACACTGGCCCTTGAGGATTGGTGTTTGACACCTCTGCTCTAGATGAAGCTGAAAGAAGAACATTCAAAAAGACCCTGAGGAGCAGTTGGTATGAGCGCTATAGTCAAACTCTGGTTCAAACGCATCCATCTTAACCTTTTCCAACTCAGCTGCAACTTTAATGCCTCAAAGTTTTATCTCACATTAATGTACACCATTGCTTGTTGATGAGCTTCTTGAGCTTCTAAATGTAAATAAAGAAGCTGGGTTTTATTTTTCTTCAGGGAGGTTTTTAAAAACTTTTTATTTGGTGAAATCCTGCAGCTGGAAACCAATTTGTAAGTTGATTTGTAATTGAAAAATACAACACTCTTTTCAACAGATTATGAAATATTTCAAATTAAAAGCATTTTTTCTGAAAGGATGAGGTTTGAAATTCTTTTGATAAGAATTATCCTGAATATTATTTGGGATATTCATTAAAACCAGGATCTTTCACAATAATAAAGTCCTTTTTTTCATTTTTCATTTCACTTTTCTACTGCACTGACTTTTGTTTTACAATTTCTAGTATCTGCAATCCTGTTTGGAATCCACTCCCTTGACCTCTTAGTCCTATAAAAGCTTTTTATGGAACCCTATAACCGTTAAATCAGTAAGCTGTTTTCAGGTTATTCCCCTGTCTGTTTTAGCAACGCCTTTGATAGATAAAGATAAATTAAGTCAGAAACACTGATATTAATCTTGCTCATAAATTATCCATACAATAAATACAGGAAAGTCACATTCCAAAAAGTCTCAGCAGAGGGCCCTCTAAATTTAGCAGGGGAAGCTTGCCATACTGGGAAAGTGACTGTGGAAGGAGCAGAGCAGTCACATGTCAGATTTGGATGAGAGCCAGCAGTCAGGTCACCTCTGATGCACTCTGAGAGAAAATAGACAAAGTAATTAAAAAAAAAATACTATCCAGATTAATAGATTTAAGTATGCCTATGTCTTACCAGAGACAACAAAAGTCTTCTTCTTGTAAAACTACAAAGAACATTATGAATTTCAGTTGGGTTATTTTTGCCCTTGAGGTGCAAGGCTTGGTCCGACATCTTTAATAAGTAACTGTAATGAAAAAGTAAGGAAGTAGGGGTCATCGGCATGTTGCATAATATTTTATTTCTTACAGCAGTGCTTTAAGTCTTGGTATTTTAGCATGTCTGCACACACACTGCTTCAGAACTTCTCAAATGTCACCCTGTAAACATCAAGGTCAGGTGTCTCCATTTAACCCTTGTCTAGACCGAAGTAAGAAAACTTAAGACAAGTTCAGAGGAGGACACGGCTATGTGATTGAGTGTAGTGGAAATATTCTCAGGCTTCGTAGACTTAGACAAACTTTTTTGTCATTTTGTACAAACAGTGTGTATAAAAAAAAAAAAAAAAAAAAATTTTATTCAGTACAGCTCTCAAGACATTTCCATTTGTTAAAGCAGAGCAGTGATAAAATGAACATGCTCCTAATGTTTTATTTATTCAGGAGAGAGTTTTAGTTAACTATAGGTTAGATTTCTGAGCTAAAAGGATTTTATAATTACAGGGTTTTTACTGTTGGGTTTCAGCCTCTTTCTGCCAATACTTTAACAGACTCGTGTTTTTCTACTTGAAAGATTTAGATATATCCTATGATGTTAGAGTACCTCATTTGGGTCTAAAAAAAGTTCAGAACTCTAATGAGGAATAAAATAGTAATCAACCACATTGTCTGGAGGATGGATATGATGCTGATGCTCCATCTGCTGGAATCCACTGAAAGACACTGGTGATTTGTTGATGACTCTGCACTGACCTCTGCTGGCTCACATCCGCAACGTTTCATTTCAAGATGCGCCTCTCATGAGCTGACCTTGCAACATTCAGGGAGAGCTTCAATGCACTGGTAGTAACACTTTGATTTTATACTTCCATTCATATCATACTTGGTTTAAATTTCAGAAATGAATGTACGATTCCTGAACTGTTGTTTACAATCAAACATTTGTTGGAAATGGGCAGGTGGAGAATGGAAATGTATTTTTTTTCCTCAGCTTTTATTTTCATTACCCTGTCATAAATAAAGAGCAGCGAAATTAACTCTCTGCATTTAACCCATTGTGCGGCGCCTGGGGAGCAGTGTGGGGTTAAGGGTCTTTTTGCTTAGGGGCCCAGAGTGGCATTCTGTTGTAGTTGGGCTCGAACTCAGAATCAGGATTCCAAGGCCTATGCCCTAACCACTAGGCCGCCACATATTTTACTCACTTGTTTACATTTATATAGGAAATGTTTATATATCTATTTATTTATTTGTTTATTTATTCATTCCAGCTCTAATCTAACCACTCTGCAGAATCTGTTAGTTCAATCTCTAATGTTATGCTCTCTCTGCTTTTTCTAATAGTAGCTTCGCCTCGTCTTTTCCTGTCAGCTGTGCTGCTGCCATCAACACCTTTGTTTATAGATGTTGGAGATCTGCCTGTTTTTCCAGTGTATTCCTGTTTCTCTGACTGTGACTAGTTGGATGTGCTCTCTTCATCCTCTGACTTGGGAGCTGGTCTGGAGCTCGTCTGCCTGGCTGTGTGTTTCCTGGACGGGGCTGCCTTTTACAGCTGCTTTTTGTATCTCTGCTTCTGTCTCCTTGAACGGCAGTTGGCTTCGGCAGATGGCCGCTCACACTGATCCTGGTTCTGCTGGAGGTTTCTTCCTGTTAAAGGGGAGTTTTTCCTCTCCACTGTCGCTGCAAGCGTGCTTAGAGAGAGGGATTGCATTCGAGTCAATGAGTCGATGCAATGAACTGGTTTTCCTTAGACTGCCTTATTTTAAAGGAATAGTACACCCAAAGCATGATTAGCCTTCATTTTCTACTCACCCCCATGCTGAACAACACTCTGGAGTACTTTTTTGATATCTCAAATGCATCTGGAGATCTGGGAGGCTTCTTGCTGTCTGCTGACATTCAAATAATGGAGGTCTATTGTGCCCGAGACAGAAAGGTCCATAAAAGTCCACAAAAACGTGTCAATATTCCTCCATACTGCTCGTCCAATGTATTCCAAGTGTCCTGAGTGGGTAGCATCCAGAATTTACACGAAACGAAGTCATTTAGAATGTTTTTAGAGCATAAACAGTAGTGTATAGGATTTCCTGAAAGCGCGCACATGCGCGTTCACGACGCTACGGAAGCCGGCAGACCAAACCAGATGAAAGTGCGCATTCAGCGTCTGCTCTGCCAATAATGCAAGCGTAGAAGAAGAAATGTGCTGTTTACCTGTGCAAACAAAGAAACAACGAAAGAAAAATGTCTGAGGACTTCAGTGTTGAGGAAGAGCATGAGTTCTTTGCCGAGCTGAATGCGCTGGTTTGGTCTTTTTGTGGACTTTTATGGACCTTTCTGCCTCGGGCGCCATAGACCTCCATTATTTGAATGTCAGCAGACAGCAAGAAGCCTCCCAGATCTCCAGATGCATTTGAGATATCAAAAAAGTACTCCAGAGTGTTGTTCAGCATGGGGGTGAGTAGAAAATGAAGGCTAATCATGCTTTGGGTGTACTATTCCTTTAAAATAAGGCAGTGCATTTAGTGTTTACTTATTCTAAACTATATTTCATATACTTCAAGTGTACTTGACTATACTATTGTTTACTTTATTGTTTACTAAAGTTTACTTTAAGTATACTTTAGTAAGCTTAAAAATGTCCCACTGTAGTTCGAAGAAGTATTACTTTAGTAATACTTCAAGTACACTAAAAGTACATTGTTTGGTATACTTTCTAAACTGAAGTATTCTTAATAGAATTTACTTCAAGAATACAACTTTTTGCTAAAGGGAGATTAATAGTTGGAATTGGCGCTTTATAAATAAACTGAATTTAATTATTTATTTATTTATCTTAAAGGTATAAGTATATGAGTATAATTTTGCTGTTATGTATAATGTAGGCACAAATAACTCATGTATCGCTGTTATTCAGAAGCGCTGAGGTGAAGAGCCAATCAGCTTCCTCCTTAGTGCGGAAGTGGGCGGTACTTCCTGTGTGTGTTATGTAGCTGTGAGCGACAGAGGAGTTTCATTCTAGTTTTGCTCTAGATTCACACCAAAAGTCCCCTTTGCCGCTTTGCTGGTCTTGCTGCGTTAAAGGCTGTTGAAGGAGAGTTTGTGTTTTTTTCATCCATAGGATTGCAGCGATAGTCAAACAATGGAGGTCGTCTCAGCTACAAGGTCATGGGTTCTCCAGTACCCTAAAACTATCGTTGTTGTCACACTTACAGGTAATGTATTCACTATCATTGTGAGTTTTAGGAGCAATAAACGGAGACAATAGTTTTAAATAAAACACTAAAGTGACAGAGCCAAGTGTTGCGCAATTGGTACGTTTTGCCTCAAGGAGCATTTTTTTAAAACTAACAGGTTTTGCGTAGCCTTAAGAGAAAACTTTAATTAATAATATATCTTTATATTGATTGTTAGATAGTGATATTCTGGAATGACGTAGAAGATGACCCTGTCAATATTAGCTGCGACTAACACATTGCCTAGTTTACTATTTGCTTTAAATAGTTGTGGATACAAATGTGCAAAACTTAAATAAAAGTTTCAAGAGAGCGCCTACTGATGACTTCATAGTTTGTATTGTATGATTTATTTTAAGTTAGATGCTAATTTAATATTATTTGACGCAAAATATAAGTAATCCTGCTTTGGTATTCTTAGTGGACTTTTTTATACATGCAATTAAACTTGGATTTCATCCATTCTAATGCACAAGTTTACCAGCTGGGAGAAGGTGCAGCCCTGGTCAAACCAGTCAGGGTGTTGTTTAGGCTTCATTCTTTTATGCAGTTGTAAACTGGTTATTACACAAGAGCAAATAGAAATGGAAACGTTTTAATATGAAATTGTCATTAAGCACCCTTCCTGGGCAATAATTAAAACACTAAATAGGTTAGTTATATATTTTTAATGATTGTCCATTTGAATTCAGGGCATGATGATGTTTTTTCCCCCGATATATAGTTTCCATCCTCATACTTTATATTTACTATGGGAGTCTGAAACTTGTAACCTTTAACTTTTTACCTCCAAATATAATGCTGGGCATCACTGCCAAACACTGTGACTGTTTAGCTTTACTGGCTCACAGGCAGGCTCGGACTGGTAATCTGTGATACCAGGCATTTGCCAGATGGGCCTGTCCTCGCACACTGAAATTAGGACCTCCTTAAATCATACCGACCCCAACTATTAAGGCCAATTTATACTTCTGACGCATAGCCTCTGCAACCGTCAAATCTGTGTCTGTGCACGACCACGCCCCCACGCAGAGGTTCTGCAACCTTTGTCACACACCTAAAAAAGTCCTGAATACGCGTCGGACGGTCGCAAAACCTGAGCAGATCTCAAGCGGAAGTGCGCAGACAAAAAGCAGCTGTGATTGGTCCTTGGTATGCCTTTCTGGGTGTCTGTGTGGTCGTCCTTCTCGATCTTGGGCGCGCCGTTTTTAAAAACCGAGGAGTAATAAAAACAATGGATAACCACGACGAAAGGTTGATCGAGGTGGTTCGGAAGTACAACCATTTGTACGCTGCCTCAGACATGTATTGGAAAATAAACACTCCTGCCGGTGCCGCCGAAGAAGTTCTCGTGAGTTCTCGAATAGGCTCCCCCTTGCACTTTGCCGGGAAACTGCTGTGCGTCCCTAGAAACTCCAGACTTACGTTGCATAAAAATACCAGCAAAACTGGTTCGCGACCAGACCCAAGCAACATTTGATGTGTGCAGATGCAAAAGTATATTCTGCCCTTTACTCTCCGGCTTAAGCACCTACCTGTGACAGTAAATAACTCAAGGAGCTCAAGAAGTAATACAATGTTAACTACCTAAAACATGCATATATAGCCCTTCCTTGTCATGCACATCCTTGTGATGGTTGGTATATGGTGTAATTTGTAAAATCCTTTCAACAAAATAAATTAGAAGAAAAATAAAACGCTTTCTTTAAACCAAACTACAATGTTCCTCTAATATTTGGCAAATTTATGTTTGAATAAAATTTGCAAAAATATGTTGCGGTTCATGATGGGGTTTTGTAACTAAAGGCTAATGTTTCCAGTCTTACTGTACGTGAATTGTTGGCAGGTTGGGATGTTGTCAATAAGTGGGCCGGTGTAAATGGAAAATGCCAGGGCCGAAAATCGTTCCCAGTTCGAGCCTGCTCACAGGAGATGTATAATTAAGGGGATTTTCTCTGTGCATTTTGGCAAGCTATATCTAGATTTTTGTAGCCTTTGGATTAAGAGCTTCTTCCTCTCTGAGTGGCCTTTCAGCCCATTTTAGTACAGGTCTTAATTCACAGTGGTTGATGTAGCTCATCGACTTTAACTATAACGAAAATTAGACCTCTCATCTTTTTAAGTTGGAGAACTTGTACAATTAGTTGCTGACTATATATTTTTTTTGCCAACTGTATCTGGAGATTTATATGAAATTATTTGCAGGAGTGAGTTTATTTGGATTTAAGAGATGGATGGCTGGGGGAGTGTGTCGCAGCAAAGCCCGCCTGGATGGAAAGACTGTACTGATCACCGGAGCCAACACTGGAATCGGCAAAGAGACGGCCATTGACCTGGCCAAAAGAGGTTAATGCTTTACCTTGTGTTCTAGTCAAGACCAAGAAGTACAGAGACCAAGACAAGATCAAGACATTTAGAATAAAACTGTCTCGGTAGTCCTTGGTCTCTGTTTTACCTTTGTTTTATAAATATAACTGGAATATAATTCTTCTGTGTAACAGGTGCGAGGGTAATTCTGGCCTGCAGAGACAAGGACAGAGCTAACAATGCTGCAGAGGAAATTAAAAAGAAGAGTGGAAACACTAACGTGGTCGTCAAAAAGTTAGACTTGGCCTCTCTCCAGTCGGTGCGCCTGCTCGCCAACGATGTTGCCGCAAATGAAAAGCGGCTTGATATTCTCATCAATAATGCAGGTGGCTAAAGAATCAGACTTCACCTTTGATGATAATGTGGTGTTTCGTGTTGAACAGCTGTGTTGGCAAAATAAATAATATGGTGTCCTTATCTTTAGGGGTCATGTGTTGCCCACCGTGGAAGACTGAAGAGGGCTATGATATGCAGTTTGGTGTGAACCATCTGGGTCATTTCCTTCTAACAAACTGCCTGCTGGATCTCCTGAAGCAGTCGGCACCAAGTCGCATTGTCAATGTCTCCAGCTTAGCTCATGAAAGAGGTTTGGATGGTTCATTGTTTGTCCTACATCCTTAAAGCTCATTAGTTAAGGATGTCCTGTCTTTATTTAACAGGCAAGATCGATTTTGATGATATAAATCAACAGAAAAACTATAATCCTTGGAAAAGCTACTCTCAAAGCAAACTCGCCAACGTCCTCTTTACCAGGGAGCTGGCCAAAAAGTTGGAAGGTATGAAATTCATCCTCTACGTACTGCAATTTAATATCATTTTTCAACATAGAGTAAACTCTATGTTTTTTACACATATCGTAAATGTGCTTTAAAAGCTGTAAAATAAATATGTAATTGCAGTGATGTAATCTAGTAAATTCTTTCTTTATCTTTTCGTTTTGTAGGAAAAAAAACTATATATTGTTGTCAGGTTTTATGTTATTAAATACAAAAGGAATTCATTATTATTATTATTTTTTACTAAAATGTGGCGCCACTTTATGACTAATTATTATGATTTAAAAATAACCGGATTTATAAAATGGTTGGGCTGTAAAAATCTAAGGGATTTCAGCCTGTGATCATTTCACAGCATTTACCATGGAAAATTAACTCAGATTTGCATTCACAGATGCTTGTTTAATTAAATACCGAGGAATATATATCAAAGAAGATTTAACCACATCATAAACGGCAACAGCTATGACAGCAACATCGAGTCTCTTAATTTGAAAACAGATTCACTGAGGAGGTGGAGTTTAAAAAAAAAAAAAAAAAACATGCCTCAAAACATAAAGTTTTAGAACCCTAGAATATTACTGAATATTGTCTGAATGATTCACCCCCTCCTTCCTCATAGATGAATGTAAGCAGACCCATGTTTACTACATTTAAAGCTGGCAGAAAATGAGTTTTTGTCAGTTTTAGATATCTATAATTAAATTCTAATGCTGAAAATAGAAACAAACACGCAGATCATGTAGGGTGTTATGTCATGCATAACCTCTTGCCCCTAAAAAACTCTATCAGAGGTTCTAAGATGTTAAACAGTTTTTGCCCATTTATTTTCATTGTAAATAATAGAGAGTTAATAATGGTTTCTGAAAAAGCTTTCCTGAATCAATCCATAACTTTATGTAAAACAAAAAGAAAGTCCATTGTGCAGCCTTACATGTCGTCATTCTAGTTTTTATTAAATTCTTGATCATTTCTCAGACTATAAACTGGTAAGTTTAGCCACCTCCTAGCCTCCGAAGATCTTGTCATACCTCTCTTACTTATGTCCTCTTGTCTTTCTGATTTGAGTCGCCAGAAATGGGCCTCTATTCCACATAATCCTAATTGAAAGGTCCTATGCTTTCAAAATCTAAAAAACAAATCTAAATTATAGGAAAAAGTAGAACTATTTTTTGGACACAATAATTACAGTCTTTCTTACATTCATATAATTTCCCACTTTTATTTTGCTCTTTATTTTCCTATTTGTAGTCAGGTTGAGATAATTCAACACTAATAAAGGATTTAATCTAAGATCCGTTTTAAGTCTTTTTAAACAACTTCACCAGGGATGCACTATTATGATTATATCATGTCTTTATCTAGGCACCGGGGTAACAACATACAGCCTCCACCCGGGAGTTATTCGCACTGAGCTTGGCCGACACTTCTTTCCCAACATGGCCTTGTGGAAGAGAGTGTTATACACACCATTAAGCTTCTTCATTAAGAATCCCAGAGAGGGCGCACAGACCACCATCTACTGTGCTGTGGAGGAAAGCCTGCAAAACGAGAGTGGATTATATTACAGGTTGGTCACTCAGCATCTTTAATTCAACAACTGGCACCAATATTGCTGCAACATTTAAAGAAAGGGTAATCAACTTCATGCAGATTCATAAAATAAAATAAAATTCAACACAGAATCACACGCAAACTGCAAATAGCAGGCTGTTAGTATCTATAACTATCAGTATATGTAATATAATCAATGGTCATGGTTAGACAATAAACACTTCATATATATATGTATACACACTTTATCTATGTAATTTTAATAACAGCTACTTGTTTTAAAAATAAAGAAATATTAGTATTTGCTCCATTATATATTTTTTTCTTTAATAATTGTAAACCCCTTTCAGAGTATAATTACTGTCCCTTATTTATACTCAATTATGATTTAATGTGGGCAGTCTAAGCCACAGCTGTGCACTAATCATGGTGTCTAATCAGCATCTTGATATGGCACACCTGTGAAGTGGGATGGATTATCTCAGGAAAGGAGAAGCGCTCACTAGGTTTGTGAACAATATTTGAGGGAAAAGGTTATATTGTGTATGTGAAAATTTTTTTGAGATCTTTGAGTTCATCTCATATAAAGTGGGAGCAAAACCAAAAGTGTTGCATTTAGATTTTAGTTAAGTGTAGAAAAGAAAATTCATCTGAATCTGTGACATTATTTGACTCTGAATATGACCTGTATTGTTTCTTGGTAAGATAAATCAAGTTGGATTTTTATGAGCATAATATTCTTTTAATTGTAATTTAAGTTGCTTCTTTTATGTAGAAGAGCTAATATAAAATAGTTTGACATGTTAGGTCACAAAACGCTACACTGCACAAAGAAATTGGGTTAAATTAGAGGGCAGTAATTTTATACAAATCTTTACAAATTGCTGTTTCTCTATATTTATGCAGGATTCTATGCTTACATTTTTTAGTTAGTTTCTGGAAGTTTAATAGACTTAGTACATTGTGTACTGATCTTGTGTCTTGTATTTGGATCATAGATTTCAATCCTTGAATTTTTACAAAAATTCCTAACCCCTTCAAATGTTCTGAATTTTCAGTATACTTCAGAGTCAATACCACAGGAAAAACTGACAAATTATGGTTAGGGTTTGTTTTCATTCATAGCAAAGATGCTGCGGTCCTTAAATAGGATTTAATCTTTATGTTATAATTCCTAAATATATATATTTCTTTATTACTATTCCATAGAAAAAAAGTTTAAAAAGGGCTAAAATCTTTCCTAGTTTTATGTGAATGTGAAAGTTAGATAAGTTAGAAATTTACTAAACTAAATTAAATGTCATGTTTCAAGAGAAGCCCTTCGAAACACGACAAAACCATGAAAACGACCAGTGAAATGAATGAAAGCAACAAATGAATGTATAGAGATGTTTTTCTAGTTTTAAGTGGAAACCAATCTAGAACTTAAAAGAATAGGGTTTTAAAACCTGGGGGACACTGATGAAACAACGCCACATTTCCTGCAGTGTTTTAGCCTTGTATGCAGCAGCTAGAGTACCTCATGTTACCATGCAGAGGAAAATCATCATCCAATAAATAAGAAATTTTAATCTGACTGTTAAATAAATCCTTAAAGACCTAAACTACAAAATAACAAACTCTGCATTTGTTTTAGTAAAATATTTATTTGTACCATAATATATCCTGGAGTGGCCTGAAGGAGGCGCAAAAGTTAACTATTTAACCTTAAGCAAAGCATTTTTGTCAAGATTAGGTCGGAAAAAAGTCCTGAGCAGGGAACCGTGTCAGGCTTTGTGGGCTAAATAGGCCAAGAAAAAGCACTTTCAGTATTTTCAGTTTAATACAGATGGGGTTTATCTGTAGACAATAACAGCAAACCAGGTGATCTTAGTCACAATACAGAATGATGTACAGCTAAATTTCTATCCTCTGCACATTATGCTACAGAATATAACCTCTGACCGATTAGAAGCAAACACTAATCTGCAACCAGTTATCGAGAGTTCTGTAAAATCTCACAGAAACTCACTAAAATCTCTGGGAAAAGCACCTGCCTATGATTTTCATTAATTTTTAATGTTTTCAGTTTCCTTAATGTCCAGATCAGCTATTCTTTTAATGAAGCGCTGCTAACACAAAGCAACGCTTTCCGGTATTTAAAACTACAAGTCCTGTCATGATGAATTTCTCTTAGCATTCGTGTTCATTTTAACTCTGTTTTGATCTCTCTGCTGACTCCCAAGGGACATATATGCCTTTTCAGGTTACTGAATGCTTCACTATGATCATCCTCTATGTAGTTTTTAACGTTGTGTGTCACCCAGCCTTTCTGGGGCAGGTACAATGGGTTCAGCAGAGCTCTCTTAGTATAAAATAGCTGCTTGCTGAGTTAATGAGTGCAAAGCTGTGGGCTGGAAAAAATCTCAGCAATTATCTGCAATGCATTCATAGTCTTCTGTAAAGGTGAAACACATTACAGAGGTGGTTGATAAGTACCTATAAGAAAAGTGCCTTCAAATTATGCAGGTATTATAGAAGTAGGTATATTTACATCAATGTAAAATAAAGCAGACAAGATACAGTTGTGATTCTGGAATTTCTGATTTTCCAAATGTAGTTTAATGCTAGATTGATATAATATGCAAAAAAGTATTTGTTTGAAGAACAATAAATGTGGCATATTTCAGTTTTTTTTATTTTTATTTCAGAGCATTTAATTAATTTTTTTTTTAAAGAGAACCACATAACACGTAAAGTGAAAAGTGAATAACATGGTTTTATTTTTATTTTTCTTAAATGGAAAGTTATAATAATGGCAAAACGTCAGTTTAATCTCCTTTACTGTGATACCTGTAAATAACATCTAGTCTAGCCAATTCCCTTCAGAGGTCTAATTATAAGTGGAGTCCACCTGTGAGTGATTATGTCTCAGTATAAATACAGCGGTTCTGTGAAGTTCTCAGATTTTTGCCAGAGAGTGTCAGCAAACAAAGAGCTTCATGAGTTTTAGGGACACAGCAGGGAGGCCAGAGAGAGAACATGACCAAAGATGTGTTCAATTTGCAACATGTGCAACAAGTGGCCTTTTGGACCTTCCAAAGGCTCTAAATAAACAGTAATTAAAACGATAAAGAACATCTAATATTTTTAATTTTAGATACAATAAAAACCTGAATTTCAATGTAATTGTTCCCCCCAAACACCAGATGTCATTTGAACTTTGGTTTTTAGGCTAAATCTGGTTGGTCCAACATAGTCTTGATTTAATCTAGAAATAGTTGATGAAAATTGGGCTGTGTTTGGTCAGTCTGATTTTGTCTCACTTAAGTCCAAAAAAACTGGGTTTTCAACGTCTTCTCAACTATCTGAAAATTACGGATTTTCACTTTTCCACCAAATGTAGATATTGTTTGCAAGTAAGTGATGTCGTCTTTTAAATGTCTTTTGAACCAAGTTTTCCTCTGTGGGTTACATTTAATTTTTACAACAGAATCACTCTAAAAGTACCAGTCATCTTTTTTGCATCTGCTTTTCTTGTGATGAGGGGAAACCATGTGCTTCTTTTGCATTATTTAAAAAAAAGAAATACCAACACCCAATGTGACAACATATTTCTAATAAATGTTGGTATTTAAATTTTAGAAATTAATATATATATAAAATTGTGTTTTTTTAGAAATACTTTTACCACATCTTCATTTTTCACATATAACACAGTAATAAACCAGTCTATCCAATGAAAAGTCTATATCATGTAAGGACAGGTTAACTGTTTACTGTTTGTTTACCTGATCTTTGAATAGTTCAAATTACTCACAGAATGGTCTTTACTTAAGTAGGAGTAGCGATACTTTACAAGAATATTACTTAAGTAAAAGTACTGCACAGGTCAACTAGTCGTAAAAGTATTTTATTTTAAAAATAGTTCTAGTTACTACCCATCTCTGAAGGTGATGTATATGCCGTAAAGCAGTCTGCACATCTGTAGTTGGGTTATTGCCACCCTCCTCAAAGTTGCTTAGTGCTGGTGAAAGCGATATGGAGCAGGCCATGACAGAGATGTCATTCAACTAGTTGTAAATCTAGGTATAATTCAATAGTGGCAAGCATCATACTCAACAGTTTAGGATTGAACATTTTTTTTTGTACAGCTTTCTGTTTGTGTATCACATAACAGCCCAATAAATTGCACTGATGTTTAAGGTTGTCCTAATAGAGTATGATTTAGTTAGACAATAAAAATAATGAAATATCCAACTTCTCACTTTTAAGAAGACCTTGGCTTTTATGTTTTAAACTTAACCCTATGAAGTTTATTAATGGCTGTTTGACAATTTAGGGTTTGAGCTCATTTTGCTCTTTGAAAATGCAATTCTTTGCAAAAGCCCCAACTTCTCATCAAGGCATTTTGATCCCTATATTCTTTAATTCTAATAAACATAACAATCTTCTTAAGCGAGTAAACAAAGAGAAATTATCAATTTAGAAACTCAAAATGTAAGGGAAGTAAATATATCATTATCTGCAGCTGCCCCAGACAATGATATATGTACTTATTAGCAACACAATGTCTCTTCCAAGAATGAGCATCATTATCCTGGAAAAATATTGCTTTATTAGACTGTAAGTTACCGCCTGGTTGCCAATTGCTTTTGTTTATTGCTGAGATAAACTTACCGGTGTGTAGCTGTTTGAATGAAGTAATGTGTTTTAACATCCACTTCTTTCCCTGATTACTGCAGCGACTGTGCCCGTAAAGCTACCGCACCTCAGGGACGTGATGATGAAGCTGCCAAGAAGCTGTGGGATCTGAGTGCCTCCATGGTGGGTCTGACACAGTCAGAGTGATGCACACGATGGTGGCGATGGCTGTCTTCGTCTTCACGGCAACAACAGGATCGCAAGAGCATCCCCAGCAAAAAAACTGGAGCGCTCTCTATCAGTTTGGCTTTTTACAAATAAGTTAGCAAGGAAAACACAGGGATTCACATTTGATAGACATTTATTTAGAATGTACAACAAACTACTTGCAAAAATACTATCCATTGAACTATGTTGTATCTTCTGTATTTAAAAAGAAGCACTGCTGTACCGGTAGGTTACATGGAAGGAGCACGATCATCGAATGACATTTTACCGGTGCCTGCATCGCCTGGGAGCTCATACACTATCTGCTTTCCAAAGATATTTACTTCCATAAACATTATTTTAACACTGCTAACGGCAAGAATTATGTTTTGTTTTTCTCTCATGGGTATGAAAGTGCTTTTAAAATGAACGAGGCATGATGTTGCTTAACATTGTGTTCACTCATTCTGTCTTTAGCTTGTTTTATGTCAAATGAGTTCAGCAATTTTTCAGCGAGATTCTGATTAAAAGTTATAAGTAGTAAATTTCCCACCTATAATTGGACTTAGCCTAAATTCATATTGGTTATCTCTATATGCAAACCCTAAGAGAAACTTTGGCTTATTTATTTTATTTAATTTTTTTTACAATATCTTAGCAGTTTATGTAAAAAAACAACCTGTTTTGCTAACCATTAAACTGCAGCCACAGCTGTATGTTGTGGATATTTACAGAGATGGCTATGATTACTTTCAGATAAATCAAGGTAGAAGGTGGTGCACCATCAATGTTTTTCCTGTGTGAAACACATGCTGGAAACATAAGAACTGATGGGGTCTGATTAGAGTAAATGTCTGGTAGAAAAGTAAAGCGATGTTAGAAGAAAATAATCATACAACCATTTTTAAGGGATTTTTTCCTTGAACAGGGGCAGGAACAATGCCACATTAAGTCTGTGGTATGTGTTAGGGATCTCATTGTACTGTCAAAAGGCTTTTCTCTTAGACATTTCTGTAAAACCGATCAGATTCTGCCATGTTCTTAATCATTTTCATCCTGCCCTTGTTTCAACATATTCATTATCAGTTCGTATGAAATCGTACGAAAAGTTATGCACACTATTTCGTACGTTTTGGACGTTTTTCCTCAAAAAAACCAGATCAGTGCGCATGCGCTGGCAGACAGAAAAAAAAAGCAGATCCGCGGACGGACGTAAAACTGGGAAAAACAGTGCAATAATCACTTCTTCATGTCTCTGACTACGTTGTTTGCTGTTTTATATCTTAGGGTCAGGGTTAGGGCTAATTGTAATTTATATTCCATGTTCTTGAATGCGGTGTAAGATGCGCATGCGCATACGACGAAAAATACGTCCAAAAAGTACGAAATTACGGTGAATAACTTTTCGTACGATTTCATACAAACTCATAATGAGAATACACTGCTTGTTTTCTATCACAACTACTCCAACCAGAAAGTATTCCTAAAGACATAACTGATGGTGCACCACATCCAAACTCGATTTTTCCTTTTTTTTTGGTAAATGAAGATGAGCTTCTGTAAATAACTGCTAAATGCTGACTTTATGGCAGTTTATAGTTGGCAAGAATATTATTTGTATAAACATTTATTATGTTTGGACAATTTGAGTTTTATAAAGACACCTGATTACAGCAGAGCTTCTCCCAGCATTACCTTTTATTCATCTCTATTGGGGATATGAGCCCCAGCCTGTTGATCTTTGCCACATGTCTTTCTCTTTCTCTCAACCCCATTTCTTGTCAGGCTACATTTAAAGAAAGGTAACTAGTGCTAAAGAAAATCTAAACAGAAGAATCTCTATTCGCACTAATCAAAGACATCTCGACAATAATCAAGTGCTAGTCAGATAATAACTACTTCTACCCTTTCAGCAGAATCTCGCTTCCAAAATTGTGAAATATCCTTTTAAAGTTTGTAAACATAAATTAAACTGCCTTCACATAATAAATATATATGTTCATTTCTCTTTCGTTTCTTTCTCTTGAAGGCACTTTGTACAAAATTGCTACAAACAGTCAGGTTTCAACCCTCGCAAAGCTACATCTCAGAGAACTGCATCACTCCTTTGTCTTGTCCACCAAAATTCCGTTAAAGACACTCATTTTTTATGCACAAAGTGCACCCAAGTGGCCTGCTGGCTACAAATTAACCCTGGTATGTTGCCTACAAATTACACAATCATGTAAAAGAGGTTCTGAGAACAAAGGTACCATATCTTGGCCTTTACATTAAAAAATAATACATATACAGGAGATGCTGTAAAGTCCAAAGATAATGATCCTTAAGCTGAGTGTAACACAGGGAAAAATATCTATATTGCTTGTTCGATATATATTCATGTTGATTTATTTGTAATAAATTATACATTTTTCAACATCTAGATAACCGTGTGTGGAATCAGCTGAGGCTATGGATGTACTTCCTGGTTTTACAGGGTTCTTTCATATTTACTACCCCGGTATTTGCTGCATTAACGCCATAACTAACTAATGAGGAGGCTCCTCAAAATCATAAAGCTGCCTCATCTGCTCCACTTGCATAGAGTGCCTTCTCACAAGTTTCTTCTTTGTCTTTAGACCTCCTGTCTTTGGTGTGTTTGGTGCTACTGGGGCTAGGGATTTTATACCTGTTGAAAGAGGTGAAGAGGGCTTGTTACTGGCCCCTATATCAGGAATGGGCGGGTTTGGGTTGACGTTTAGGGGGGGCAGGTGGCCAGGCCTAGTGTGCGAGATATAGTCCAACAGTAGCGTGCCGGAGCCCCTCCTTTCCAGGAGTCCAGGTGCGCGCCTTCGTGCCGTGCTTGGAGATGATGTGCTTGCATTGCTGTCAAGCGATTCTCTGGAACTGGTGAGCATTGCAAGTGGAGAAGTGTTTAGTTTCCTTCGCTCCACTGGGACTTTAGGAGAGTCTAACATGGCAGAGTCTGAGTAGAGCTGCGAGTCTGAGTCATAGTGATCGTTTCCTAGACGTCTTCTGTGCAATGTCTCTCTGAGGCTGACTTGTCCGCTGCCGCAGCTGCTGCCGCTCTCCTGCTCTGTGGGCACAGTACTGCGCCGAGCCAGAGGCTGGTGCTGTCCCAGAGATCTCTCGTATGAAGGCTTAGACGTTGGAGGGACTGATAATGAGGTTGTCATTTTGCACGGCTGGTCACCCACCAGCGGGAATAAGCTGTCCTTCCCATCCACGCTGCTCTGCCGGGACAGAGCAGCTCTCCTATTCAGAGAGAGGCCGTTCACCCCAGCAACTACATCCTCATCAGAGCTGGCTTTCTTGCTCTCCTCATAGGCAGCAGCTGCAGCCAGGACAGAGGGAGCAATCAGGCCCCAGGGCTCTGATTGCAGCCGCTTCAGCTGAGGCAAACGCGCCCGTTTCGGGTTTACCGGCCGGCGAGTTGGAGATGTGGGCCCATTTGTGAGCTTTGTTGCAGAGACTGACGTTTTTAGCTTCGTCTGGAAATTAAATACAGTGTTTTGTTCCTCTTGCTCAGATGTAGGAGACGCAGTGATACTGATGTCAGAGGGAGTGGTGCAGTACTCTAGAGACGACCTCTCCACCAGCTCTGGAGATGGGGGCACATTTAGATACTGTTTGGTGGTTTTAGTGCCAGATGGTGACTTGTCTGTCGTTATTATAATGACCTCTTTTCCTTTAGCTTTGCATGCATCCAAAAGTAATTTTAACGTCTCCTTATCATCTGCATTGATGGCATAGACCAGAGCCGAGGCCCCACTCCTGTCCTCCAGACTTGGATCAGCACCGTTGCTCAGCAGGTGATCCACCACCTCGTGCCCAGCTTTATGGATGCAGGCATGCATTAGAGCCGTCCTGCCCGCCTTGTCCTGTATGTTGGGGTCCGCTTGATTGTCCAATAGATATTTGACAAGCTTCGACTTGCTCACACTTTGCTGGTCGGAGTGTCTCGACATACAGGCCACCATGAGTGGCGTCTCTCCCCGCTCATTGCTCTCATTGATGTATGCGCCTCCTTCCAACAGAAGCCTGGTGAGTCTTAATCGTCTGAGCCACACTGCCTTCAGGAGAGAGTTCCCATCTGTGCGCAGCTCCAGAATGTCTGCCATTTCTCCAACCTGTTGCAGGTCCTCTTGATCCTACAGCTTACAGATCTTTAAAGAAAATATGAAATTAATACAGCATATTTTGCCACTTAGACAGGCATATACATGACTACATAAGTTTGTTCAAAATGTAAGGACAGTATGAAAAATCTTTGAAAAAAATGTGTTGCCCTTTAATTCAAGTTAAACTGAAAGCTGTGATTCAAATATCTGATTTATTATACAGCAGTAGCATACATTTTGTACAGCAATTCATGTAATCAACTCTGTTTCTCATTGAACTTATTTAAGTTGCTAAATAAGCAACAAAATGCTGGTAGACAGAGATTAGATATTTTTTTTTGTCATGCTGAACGTCTCCCCCAAGCTTATGCCGCCCTGGATAGTTTGCAATATTAAGCTTATTAAAATCTTTTATTTTAAAACAGCGTAGAAAGGCAGATCTGTTTCTGAAATACTTGGTCCAAGCAAAGTGTCTCTCTGCACTGAGTGAGTTTGCCTACAGGAAAATTATGACTTCTACATGAATTCAGGAAAAAAAAAATGTTTGTATTTTCCAGTAGATTTATTTAAAAAACAGCCAAAGCAAATTAAGATTAGACATGTTTGCATTATACAGATTGGGGAGAAAATTACCATCTGCTAAATGTTGGAGGTAATTTTGCTTTGGGAGAAAAGGAAAAGGATAAAAGCTAACATTTTGTGGTGGAGTTTATATACAGTAAAATCGGTTAAGGGTGCCATACAGGATAGGATTCATCCTGGTTTAAATAAGCCCTGCCTTTTATTTTGGCATTTAACTTTTTCCAAATTAACTGTATTTAAAATCAGATTGTTGCTTTTTATGTAAATGCAGAATAATAAATGACAGGGCTCATAAATATTACAAGAGTGTTGATTCATTACTAGCAGAGGTAAAAGAAGGATCTTAAATTTTACCTCTGAAAGGGGGCCTTTTATTCATAATCCATATGAAGAGCACGTGTGTTATGATTTTGAATTTTACAACTTGATTGAAGCTGTTATTTAAAATCAGTTAATCGATTTAAAATTTTAGCAATGTGTCATTAGTTCAGAAACCCACCCTCTGATTACAATAACTCAAAAGTAAAATATTTGTTTATAACTTTAAGCACTTAGACTATGGTTTAGAAAAGAACAACTGTGACCAAATATAAAATACAAATACAGCTGTTCACATCTGCCTGATCAGCATGTTTACCTCCGCTTGTATTCTGTGCTTTGAGCAGAACAAAGCAAATGCACCAGAAAATGCAGATTTAACTACTTCGTTTGTTTATATGGCGCTTTCCTTTTCAACAACCAGCAGGTGGCAGTCTAATACAACATAAAGACCAAAACAAATAAGTTCATAATAGAAAATATCTTTCAGTAAATATATTACGCAGGCTAACTAATAAGTCAAATGAAAATCATTTGATTGAACATATAGTTTCTCTGTGCACTAAGGTGGAAAACATGGAGACACAAGCAGTTAAAGTTTCAAACACAACTGATGTGTAGCCAGGTGATGTAATTTAGAGTAAAACGTTTCAAAACTGATCTTTTATGAAGACATTAAATATCTATATCTATATTTGCTAAAAATCACAAGCAGATGACTCATCTTTAAATAAAATATTTGAATGTCTTAACCTTTTTATCAGAGGCTACAATTTAAGCAGTTATTTCTGTGTTTAAATTCAATTCATAAACATCTGGTGGCTTTAAATGGGGGTTCAGTCAGAGCGGAAACAGCTGATTGGATAATTCTCTTAATTCCTGAATTATATGTAAATTATTGCTCAGATATTCATCTGCGTCCAACAGAAACACGTTTCTCATTGAGTGTGAACATTAAGAAGTTAACCTAATGCCACCCAGCCAATACACAAGACAAGAACATAAAGTTTTCCAACCTCCATCTGCCATAATTTCTGCAAAGGAACAATTTCAAGGATGAACTTAAGGCTTACCTGCTCAGAGAAGAGTCTCTCCATGCTCAGAGAGCGCGGTGCCATC